AGAACACGCCGGAGGGAATCCACGAGCTCCTTGAAGGGATCTGGAGCACTCATGTTGCCTACGGTTGTGGTCCGATCTTCTGTTATGGAAGGAGACTCACACAGAAGGTTAGGAATAACAGAGGAGGTTTATTGAAGGCAACAGATGCTGGTGGTAGACTGGTAGGTGAGTAAGCAGTTCAAATGGAAATGTTCAATTGTAATAGAGGTGTGGGAATGAGTATGCTTGCCCTTGCAGGAGTCCGTGGAAGAGCAGATGGTGGAATGGAAGGTGGCACACACCTCACCGTAGTAAGACTGGAGGGGTGTTCCCGGAGACGTAGGAGGACACAGGCGTTGGAGTAGAACACAGGAGGTAAGTACACGAGGAAGGTAAGGATATCAATCATTCGCTGGAGTAGCATGAAGAGTCCACTTCGTATAAGCGAGATCGGACACTGGAGTGAGGTGAGGTGTGTGCTTATGAAGTGCCTTGATGAGGGTGACGATCATGAACATGTGCGTGCAATCAGAACTCAGGTGAAGGTGTGCGCTGTGATTGTGTGGTGAGTGAACCTGGCCGATCCATGACAGCAAGACATGATGTATATATTGATGCACAATAATTTCATGGCTGTCTCTCAAAACCTTGTGAGCTGCCCACCTAGACAGCATTTTTGGGCATTATAGATGTAGTCGTAATGCCTAAAAATACTGTTTACAAAAATGTACCATGGTTTTTTTTAGACAAGGTACCATATCTTTAAATAATATGTAAATGCCATGGTAAATGAATTTGGTGGTCATTTATTACCATGGTATACACTATAAAGTTTGGGGTCGGTAAGAATGTTTTATTGTTTTTTAAAGAAGTCTCTGATACTCATTAAGGCTGTATTTATTTGATCAAAAATACAATAAAAACTGTAATATTGTTACAATTCAAAATAACCGCTTTCTAGTTTAATGTATTTTAAAATGTAATTTATTCTTGTGAATTCTCAGCAGTCATTACTCCAGTCTTCAGTGTCACATGATCCTTCAGAAATCATTCTTATATGCTGATTTGATACTCAAGAAACATTTCTTCTTCTTATCAATGTTGAAAACAGTTTGTTCTTCTTAATATTTTTGTGGAAACAATGACATTTCTGACAAATTTGTCAGGATTCTTTGATGAAAGTTCAAAAGAACAGCATTTATTTGAAATCTTTTGTAACATTATATCATAATATAGACAATATTATATGTGTACTGTAACTTTTGATCATTTTAATCCATGCTTGATGAATAAAAGTCAAAAACTACCTCAGTAGAGAACGGCGTAGCAACACCAATGCCATGAGTTAAATTTCCAGGTAATTCACTGATAAAATTTGTTTGAATGCAATGCAAAGATAAAAGTGTCTGTTAGTACATAAATGTAAAGCACTGTTTCAGACCATAATTATGGTATAGTACCATCACTGCACATTTTGGCAAGTATAGATAGACAGCTCACTGCGTTTTGAAACACAGCATCTGAGGATGATAAAGTAGCTGAATTATATTGCATTAATTCTGTAAAAAAAAATTAAAAAGATAATGAAAACCTGCCGGATGCGTTTAAGGACTCGTTTAATGAAGCTGACAGAGGCAGGGGATGGCATACTGCAGGAAGTGCTCATGCAGCAGCAGTAACAGCAGATATGTGCTACTGGGGTGCTCTGAGTGCTAATTGAAGAGTATTATCAGTGTTGATGGAGTGTACAGCTCTGATATGGGAGGATTAAAGTGGGATGCTGTGGTTCTTTGATATGGAACACAGCCCAGCACACCACTGAGAGAGGCTTGGGACGCAAGCCTGATACAGACTGATACCCCATGACTAAGGCCAATCTAGAGCTCGCACACAGACTCTCGCTCACTTTCTTTATCCGTCACCTTTCCTCTTTCTCTTTGCATATGCTGTATTTGTGTAAGTGCTTGTAACCATACACTAACAGTGCAATGCTATCTCGAGCCATCTGTCAAGCCATCTGAGTGTAGAACATGGTGCATGCTCAGTTAATGCCTGTTCTTGATACTGTTGGAATGTAGCTAATTTAAAAGAGGAGACAGATCTTCTGTCTTTGTATTTGTGCTGTTTATTGAGTTTGCCTCATTAAGTAGAAGATGCTGCTGGAACGTGTCATTACATCATTCGCATTCTCAAGTGATGAGAATGTACCTTGCGTCCAATAAAGGAATTTTAAAAAATGACTTCCAGATGTGGAAACATATTGAAAATAAGTAAAATCGTACATTTTGGGATAGTTGTTTGCAAATTTTTATTGGCTAGAATTTTTTTTAAAAGCTTGGTGTATATTATGGACACAGACTGCAGTTTTTTTTCACTTCAGATTTCATCCAGTCTGAGAAATATTATACATGTCGTCATGCGTTACCTAGCAACAAGGCAGTTTGATTGGTTATTGCAACAAGTATGAGCACCCAAATGGTTTACACTAAAACGTCTTCAGAGTAAAAAGTAATTTTTGTTACTTTAAAAGTAACCTTTTATATATA